CTTTATCACTAACTTGGAAACCTGACTATTACCAGACCCGTGCTTTATATTTTTCTTCTGAATTTTAGGGTTCATTGTCAGCAGATTCTTCTAACAAGTACATGGTTCTTTATTCTTCAAGTCCTAAAACTCTGGCAAACATCACAAATGTTTGCCCATTTCTCCCCTTTTAATAAAAGAACAGAACATGACTGTTTTTTTCATTACTGTCATATCGTGTAGAGAAAAATGGAATTAAAACTGAAAAGAGAAAAACAGAACTTCCATCCAGCATTTTAAAAGCGACAATTACACAACCAGTCTATTAATTGGCTTCCATTTTGAGATGACAGTGAGCAAGCAAACACTCTCTTCAAACCTCATAAATAACTATCTCCCATGCTCTGCCTTCCGGTTCTTTCTTTTGCATGCAGAGGTAGTCTAGGGAGAGCCTGCACTGCCTTTTACTACAGGTTCTGAAGAGAAAATGATTCTTCAGTATGGTATTTGGCCTTACAACACCACAATCTTACTCTGAAGATTAAAATATCACTGAAAAGGAACTCTGGGCAATGAGGTAAAATGTCAATGTTAAAGAGCCCTGTTTCATTAAAATCTCTCTTTAAACATCACCAGGCAAAATGAACCACTGCTTTTCCATTTCACTTGCCAGCCCCCCAGACACATTCTCAGCAATGACCTCATGTTACAAACTGAAGACCTTAGTTATTCTTTTTTTTTTTTAGACCTTAGTTATTCTGAGGATCAAACAGTATAAGAAATGGAGTTGGGAAGAACAAGGCTTTCTTAACTTTATAGCTGACCATGGCAAAGAAAGAGGATGTAGAAAATTGCAGGTAAAGTAAATTGTTTGGGTTTAAATGTTCCCTTTTTCAATATTGCTGCACTTTGAAGGAATTTACTGAGGCTGTAATGCTCCACCTTTAATTTATCCCGCTGTCCTCAGCCCTTGCAGTGTTTCAAACAAGAAAACTGACTCCTTGTTCTGAAATCCCAAAGAAAGATAGTGCTCAAGTTTCAGATCCCTGGATACCAGAGAGGAATGTCAGGCCCACCCAGGACAGACTGAACAACATTTTAGAAGAAAGATCTTAGCTGTGTGGGATGGTTTTAGAATGCAGTCTTCCTCCAGACACTGTCTTTGAAGTCTTTTCCAAATGGCATGTAAACTAGCTATACCTTCCCTTCTTAGGAAGCCTTTCTAAAATTAGGATGCTTTAGAAACAGACAATGGAATAGGTGATGCCTCCAAGAAAAAGTGTGATTCATTAAATCAGGCAGATCTATAAGCCCAATATTAACTAAAAACACAGAAGCAGAGGTTTGTGGAAAAAAAAAGGGGGGGGGACAGTTCCACAACTATAATATGGCTCTCAGGAGTATGAAGACAATGGGTATATGGAGAACATCATTTGAGTGCCTACTCTAATGAAACAACCTGTGCTTTCACCATTAATGGCTGGCTGGTGGGCGACTACTGCATATGGGAGAGGTAGTTAAGGATACCAATAAACTCCTGGATTAACTGAACACTTTTTCTAGTTTACTACAGATGGTATGTAAATAATGCCACTCAATCAGTATGTACTCCTCAAATAATGGCAAGGACAAATATCTTTTTAAAAATCAACAACAAAATCCTTTTAATTTAGAGTTCAGTTTAATATAGAGTTGTCTTTAATCAACAACAAAATATCTTTAACAAATCAACAACAAAATAAAAAGCTACAGAAGAACCTTTTCACCAGAGCAGTTTGGATGATGAACTTAGTGGACTGAAATAATAGGTTTGGTTTGGAGGAAAATCTGAAGGAGTCTAAAAACAAACAACGTACAATACTCAGTGGTCCAGACAATAGACTCAGATTCCATAACTTAAAAAATTACAATTAACACTGAATTTTAGGTTCTTATTATCTTTAACTAGAAACTTTGTATAGTGTTCAAGTCTTGGACTCATAAGATCACTAACACCATGGAAGACAGAATTTAATGTGACCAAGACAAACTAAAGAAATGGTCAAAAATTAAACAGATGAATATTGCCAAGTGTTGGGAAGTACACTTTGGGAGAAAAAGCACTGTTAACTGCTTATCATAAGGAAAAACTGTCCAGAATTCAGTACGGCGGGCTCCCGAGTGGAAAAAGTTTAAGAAGCCCTGGACACATACAACAACAAAAAAGAAAAGGAAGAAAACAACAACAACAACAATAACGGAAGTTGAGGAAAAGGGTGCAGTACCAGGGGGACTGAAAGCTAAATATTCAGCATATGGCACTGCTCTAGAATACTGGCATATTGTAACCTGCACTTCCCACCACACTTGTCCATCGATGGAACCTTCCAGTAGGGTACTGTTCTCAGTTTAAGGCTTCAGAGGGTTACCCATGATTTATGTGGGAGAATCTAGAAGAAATCCTTTTGCCTGGACCCTGCTAGGCATCTCTCCAAAAAGGCAAGGGGATTGACAGGATGGTCTTTTGAGAGCCTATAAAATTCCATCTAAAGCACAGCTCACGTACTTTATTTTCAACAAAGGACAGCCTACAATTTTAAAGCTAATCTGTCGATCTCTTGAGGTCTGCTCTAGGGCATCTTTGTTAAAATATAAAAACTTTCTTGTATTTTCATCTACATATCTTCTACCACATTTCTCAGGAACTAACTAGAAAATGGGAAACATGATGAATTCAGGTTATGCCTGTAATCACAAAATGACATGCTCCAATTCCATTGATTTTTAGTGTGTTAATAGCCAGCTGCTTTTCTGTTGTTACTCTTGTTCTTCTAATGTATTATTTATTTATTTGTAAATCACTTATTGCTGTAGCATCTAAGTGCTAAAAAACAAAAAGTTAAAAACATATAAATTATTCAAAGCTACCAGGTAAGGGAAGGAAAAATGAAGAAGATAAAAAGATGATGACAACTTAATACAGAACTACTGCCAGGCAATCTAACAAATGAGCTGCTTTCCAAATCAAGAAACAAAAACAAAATCATTTAAATCAAATGCAAAAACATTATACGCTCTTAGTGTACAAGCCCTTACTGAACTCAAATAATATGCAAAATCTTGTAATAGGGAGATAGAAAGAGAAGCTTAGATCCCTGCCCTTGAAGAGTTTACACTCTAGTATACACCTATGAAAAGACTGCAGACACACACTTCTAAGGAATAGTGAGCAGATGTCCTTAAGTTGTAACTGTGGGGTTATAATACTGTTTTGTAAAATAAGAAATGTAACTAACAAAATGGGAGGCTAATTGGTGGTAGCATTTTAAGCCTTGGTCTACGGAAATGCTTTCATCCAAACTGGACACCTTGCCATTACTCAGATTTATGCTGTTCTCTTATACCTCTGTGACCATAATATCCCACACAACTTGAACCCACCCATCTTCTCCCTGTCCTCACAACCTCCACCCCTGGTAACATCTCATCTCTGATCGAATGAAACTATTCTAATCCTTTTTTTCCTGCAAAACCCAGTTTAGGTATCACTTCTTTTCCTATGAAGTGGCCCCTGATCCTTGGAAATTGAAGTGATCTCTCCCTTCATGTGTAGGTCCTTAAATGCTTACTGAATGGGAACCCCTCCCCACAGAAAACAAAACGTATGCTCTTTTTTTCTATTGATAATTAATCTATTTATTTTTAGTTTTCAACATTCACTTCCATAAGATTTTGAGTTTTAAATTTTCTCCCCCTTTTCCCTCCCTACCCAAGACAGCGTGCAATCTGATATAGGTTCTATTCATATATTCATATTAAGCATATTTTCCCATTAGTCATGATGTAAAGAACAATTAGAACTAATGGAAGGAACTATGAGAATGAAGCAATAAAACAAAACAAAGGGAAAGGAGAGCAAATAGTATGCTTCCATCTGCATTCAGACTCCATAGTTCTTTCTCTGGAAAACTTATGCTCTTAATAAAATTAAACCTTCAGTAACACAAAAGGGAAATTTCCCTCCGAATGCTTAGGTGGAGCTGACTTTCCAGGACAGGGATTCTTAACTTTTTTTGAGGCATGGACCTTTTCAGCAATCTGGTAAAGCTTAAGGATCCCTTCTTAGAATCAAGTTTTTAAATGCATAAAATACATAGGATTACAAAAGAAAGCAATTATGTTGAAATATAGTTATTTACATGTTTTAAAAAAAAAAAAGCCCAAACAAGTTTACAAACCCCAGGTTAAGAACTCCGAGGGCCTAAAGCCACTTTCCCAAAGCAGTTTGTTGATATTTACATACAATTACTTAAGTGACAAAAGCTGTCTACATCACCATGGATGCATCTACATGTATATACATGTATATACACATATGTTCATAAGCTTTTGGGTGTTGCTTTTAGGGGAATTCTGCACCTAGTACTTTGCAAAATCCAATTTCATAAACAGGGAGCCAAAGCCTCCCAGAGAAATATGCCAATTCAGCAAATATGTGGAAAATTTTTCTAAAGCAGTAGATCCTGGGACATTCAAAACCTACTAGAATCATTCCAATTACCTCTGTCTACAATGAGAAGTTCAATTTTAATCAGCAAGAGGAACCCTAATGTCCAGGGTATCGAATGTTTCTATTTAGCTTCTTTAGCTTTCTATAGGCCTGTTGGTATCTCCTAGGGACCTCTTAAGTTACAGGGTATCTCTGCGGTTTAGAAGGTGACACAGGCCCAAAATAAGCACAGAGATGATGTGAACAATTAAAGATAGTAAAGATCTTCACTAAGCTAGGAATCAATATGAGAGTACAGCAAGGTCCTAGAATTAGTCCCCTAAGTGCAAGCACCATTATAGCAAATTCTTCTAAATAAGAAAACAGACTTAATAAAATCAAACAAATATTTAGCCAGGGAAAGATGAACTAGTTGGGTCATCTTCTTTTTTAATTTGTTAATTCTAATAATGTTTACTAATTGGAAGTGCCTAAGTACACAGAAGAGACTGTGTTTTTCTTTTGGAGGAATTCCTATAAGAATATAACTTACTTGCAGGGCAGTTTAGTTTTGTCTGCTACCATGGTCCACTGCTGTTGATTGGTGGAAACTTCAATGTAGTAGCTGTAGCTTCGATCATCACAGTCCCAAAGTAATAACCTGAACAGAGAGAAGAGCATTATTAGACAGTAAGACATTATTTGAATAGAGGAAAGTAGAAGACTAATGTGAACGGAGGCAGAGTGAAGAAAGCAGAACTATGAGAACAACAGACACAACTACAACAATGTAACTAAAAACAAAACAAAACAAAACAAAACAGTCAAACACTAAGAGACCTCAAAAATCAGATGTAATGGGTAGTTGATGAAATACACTTTCCTCCTCTCTGTAGAGAGATGGTAGTCTACAGAAGTAGCATGTTCTGTAGGCTTCTAGAAATGGTTATTTTGTCAACTGGTTTTGCTTAGCTATTTTTTTTTAAATAAAAAAAAGAAGGGATAAAGAAGGGATCTAAGGCAGGGGTGAGGATTACTGGGAAATGCCTATGGTACAAAAACATAAATGATCAATAACACATTTTTTTTTTTAAATATAGAGGAAGTCAGGGAGATGTTCATGAAACCAGGGTCTTCCTGATCTGGTTGCTTCAAGAGGCTTTAGTCATGGAGGTCAGCCATATTTACAGAGACCCATTCTTCCCTATCACATTATCAGGATCAGATATCTAAAGAACAAATAGCCAAGGGAAAAGGAAGAACAGTCCCCCCCAACAAAGCATAAAGAAGGAATGGAAGTGATTCAGTGTGAGTAACTGTTAACCCTACAACAATCCATGGAGGCAAAAATGTTACTCCAAGAACAGATGAAAAGAGGATCAGTGGGAATGCCTTATTCTCAGATGTCCCACAATTCTGCTTTTTGAATCTCTCATCTCTAGGTGGCAAACCAGCTGAATATATGGATGAAGTCAGACCTGACTGCCCCTAGTGATTCTTAGGCGTTCATTCCAAAACTCAGGGTGGAAAATTTAAGTGATCTTAGAGATAAACAACAACAACAAAAACAACAACAACAACAAAAAACAAACCAATACTGGTCATCAGAGGCTCTTGCCCTCTATTTTGTGACATCTAGGATGATATTCACCATGGTCTTCCCAACTATTCTTCATCCATAAAGCATGCAAAGGCTTACCAAAGATTCAAGTTTAGGCAAAACTTGAATCTTTGGTAAGCCTTTGCATATGTGGTCCCAATACTATTTATTTGGAGGCTGATTATACAAAAATCTTGGCTTTTCCTCCACAGATAAAGAACATTCAGACTACTATTCAGGGTGACATCTATAATCCATTCAAACCACTGTTCTGGATCTGACATTTCCATCCAAACTAGTGTTCTGGATCTGACATTTGCAAAAGAACATATCCGATCCAAAAGCAAGGTGGTTCTTGACATCACTCTTATGTTGTTTTCCCTTAATAGCCCATTATGGATATGTAATAGAAAAGGGAGCTGCCCCAAGAGTCAGAAGACCTAAGTTCTATTTTTTTAGTCTTGGTTATGCCACTAAATAATGACATGAACTGCGTTGGCAAATCAGCTACCTTCTCTGGTTACATTTTCCTTTTCTGTAAATTACGGCATCACAAGAATTTGAGAGCTGGAGGTACCTCAGCAACCATCTAGCCCAACTCATCCTTTAAAGGACTCTTGGTGACCCCATGGGCCATGGCACACCACGCTATCCTCTACTCTCTCTCTGGAAGACTGATCAAGTTCATGTTTGTTGTTTCTATGACACTATCTATCGATCTCAACCTCTGCTGTCCCTTTCTTCTTTTGTCTTCAATCCTTACAAATATCACAGTGGCTGGAGCCCTAGCCCCTTTAGACTTCCCATTCTGCTTCTGCAAAGCTGGAATTAGCAAGGAATTTTCTGATACTGAACCTAAATCTGCCTCTTATAACCTCCACATGTTGCCCATGGTTTTGTCCTCTGAGGTCAAACAGAACATGTGTAATAACTCTTCCACATGACATTCTACAAACATGAAGACAGTGATAATCTCTTCCTTGAGTTTTCTCTTCTCCAAGTGAAACATGCCCAGATTTTTCAACCAATTTTCATACGACATGGACTCCAAGTCCTTCATCACCCTGGCTGCTTTCCTTTGTTCTCCAGATTATCAATATCCTTTTTAAACCAAGGCCTTCAGAACTTAATACAACACTGCAGATGAGGTCTGATGAGGGTATAGGATGCAGCAGGACCTCAGCTCCTTATTCTTAGAAGCCCTGCCCCTTTTAGCTTGAAGTCCATCAAAACCTCCAGATCTTTTTCAGAACAACTGCTATCTCCAGGCCTTTCCTAAGTTATACTTAAGAAGCTGATTATTTTTGTTTACCCAAATGCAAGACTAGCCTCTATCTTTGCTGAATTTCATCTTATTTAGATTCAGCTCAAGCTCTAGCCTGTCAAGATCCTTTTGTATTCCAATTCTGTCATCCACTCAGTTAGTTTTACCTATCAAGGTGGTGTTATCTGAAAATTTGAGGAGTATATCATCTAGGCACTGATAGAGATGATAAACAGCATAGGGCCAAACAATGATCCTTAGAGTATTCCACCGGAGACCTCCTACCATGAAGACATTAAGCCATGAATAACTACTCTTTGATTCTGGCCATCCAAAGAGTTCTGAATCCATTTCATTAAGTTATATCTACATCATTACCCTCAACTATTAGTTTTACAATTCTGACAAAAAAAGGAAAAGAGGTCAGTCTCTCAAGACTTGCTTTAAGCCAGGCCAGCTCATTGTAATCAGCTCTTTCCTTTCTAGATGTTTACCAACTATCAATTTAATATGTTCTAGAATTTTTCCAGAAACAGATGTCAAGTTTGTTGGCATACAGTTTGCAGACTATGTTCTTCCTTTTTTGAAAATTTACCCTTCTCCAGTATTATGGAGGCAGTTTTGTAGGTAGAGTGCTGGGGGCCTGGAGTCAGGAAGACCTGAGTTCAAATCTAGCCTCAGACACTTACTAGCTATGTGGCCCTGGGCAAGTCACTTAACTTCAGTTTGCCTTAATCCACTGGAGTAGGAAATGGTAAACCACCCTAATTTATCTCTGCTAATTAAACTCCATATGGAGTCATGATGTTAGACTGCACCAAATGCTTGAACAACAAAATATTGTGACACCTCTTCTGTTTTTCTCTCTATTGTTAATTATTGTCCTTTCCATTCAAAGCAAAGCTTTAGATTAGATGATTTCTTCCAGATCAAAAATGGTGTGAATGTATGAATTTATTTGATGCTGCTTATTTTTAGCCTATGAGATGAAGCCATGGTGTGGTTGATAGCAGACCCTGGAGTCATACCTGGGTGCAGGCTGCTTCTGACACACAATGGTTGTGTAACCTTGCATAAGTCACATAAACTTTCAATGTCCTAACCAACTCTCTATAACCTTAAGTTGTAGATAAGGTCCTGATATGCAATGGTAGAGGGAATTTCCTTATTGTATATTTCTTATGCCAGTGAAACCACAGGTCTAGTCTAAAATTAAAATGAAAATTTCAGTCTTAGATTAAGGAAATCCTTAAGTCTTGAAGACACTGAGTATTGTGTTATTTCCTTTTATTTATTAACCTCAGATCTAATCTCTCTCCAACTTTAAGGAATATTTCCTTATGCTAATATTCTGGAATCATTATTTTTGTTGGTCTGTAGCAATCAGAACAGCATACTGTATCCCAAATATGGATACTCCATCATTTTGTACAAAGCTAGGATCATGTTTGCTGCTGTTTTTGCACAAAGCTTTTCAATTTCCTTTTGTGTGTTGTTTCCCCCATTAGATTGTAAGCTCCTAGATGACAGGGACTATCTTTCTTTTTCTTATCTGTATCCCCAGTGCTTAGCACAGTGCCTGGTACATAGTAGGTACATACTGAATTTGTTACTGAATATGACATACTGCATACTAGAGTCAGAAGTCAGTGAATATTTATAAAGCACCTACTGTACACCAGGCACTGTGCTAAGTTTAAGTGCTGAGGATACAAAGAAAGGTATAAGATAGGGATGTCTGGATGGTGGTAGTAGAAGAAAGGAGGTCATGGGCACTCGAGAGCATGATGAAGTCATGCAGCCTGAGTGAGAAAAATCTGAGGAGATGTGAGTTTCTGAGTTCATTTCATTTTGCAGAATGATGAGTTTCTGGAGATGATGCAGTCTAGGAATGTAGCTGGGTGGGAAATGATAAGGATTCCCTGGCACCATCCTTAAATGGAAAAGAATCAGAGAGGAGTTCACAGATATCCACCTCCCACCGTCTCTAATCAGAAGGATGGATGGAGGGGTCTCATTACTAGAGGGTGCTTCCCTAGTCAAAGTATCTTCTGATGCTCAATTCTCATGACACTTTGCTTGCACCTCTCTTATGAACTTATGCTCCATTCATTACAATAGTTATTTATGTATACATGTAGTATTCCTCCCAGTAGAGATGATATGGTGTGGTGCATAGAGAGCTGGCCTTGGAGTAAGAAAGACTTGGGTTCAAGCTCAATCTTTCTCACACACATGCATGCGCACACTGCAAGAACCTGAGCAAGATGTGAGGAAAGCAGCTAAGTGCTGATGTGGCTAACGCCAACACCATGTTGACCTTTGTTGGTCACATCAATGTGTTAGACTGTCTTCAGGGAAAAGTCTGCAATGACTCTGAGGCTCCTTTCTTGAGTCATAACTATTACTTTTTGGAACTGATTAATCTGGAAATACAGTGATTTGGATTATTTTTCGCTAATTATTTTAATGGAATTTTAGGCCACAATGAAAATGTTTTCCCATTCTTCTACCCCACTCTACTCCCTACTTCCTTTGCCAGCTTTTTAAGAATATATGTAAAATTTCTTTATTAAGACAATGTCAACTATAAATTTTAAGACTTTACTGTGCACAATTGTCCATGCAGTTTACCAATCTGTTAGATCTACATTCTATTCTCATACTGATTCCTAGGCATCTCACTATGTATAAAAAGAATACTTCATTCCTTGTCTCTAAGTCAGTTCTCTCTTCAATATACAATACTCTTCCCAAACCCAAGTTGATTCAATTTTTTAAAGTTGGGGTAGAACTA